CTTCTCGCGACAATTCCCTTTGGAAAACCACAACAAAAATCCTAAATCCTCACCGCATTTCCCATCCTCTCCGACGAGGTGATGGCTCCTGGGCAGCATCTGACGAAGATAAAGCTGAGGAGTTCGCCATTCACCTATCCAATACATTTATTTCACATCCGGAATCCCATCCTGCCCACACCGTAACAGTAGAAGAACTCCTTACATCACCAATCCCACTTTCCTTGCCCCCAAAAGCTATTCATCCTTCCGAAGTAAAATTTCAATTAAAAAAACTAATCCTCCGTAAAGCTCCTGGACATGATCTCCTTACACCTCAAATCCTTCGACAACTTCCATCCAAAGCAGTCATATTCCTTACATATATCTACAATTGTATCCTACGCACCACCCACTTCCCTCTGTTATGGAAACACTCCACTATTATCCTTTTCCCAAAACCAGGAAAACCTCTCAATAGCTCAACATCCTATAGACCAATCAGCCTACTCCCAATCCTTTCAAAAATTTTTGAAAAGATCCTTTTGAAACGAATCCTACCCATTATAGAATCCCAAAATATCCCTTCCCATCAGTTTGGTTTTCGCTCTCAACATTCTACTGTTCAACAAGGACTCCGAGTCGTTGATCATATTTCCTCAGCCCTAGAAAACAAGGAATACTGTTCGGGTGCCTTTCTGGACATTGCACAGGCATTTGACCGGGTATGGCACTCCGGACTGCTCTCCAAGCTTAAAATCCATTTACCTCAGTCCTTGTACCTAGTCCTCCGATCCTACCTCTCTGACCGCTCCTTTCGAGTTCGCTGTGGAACAGAATTTTCCAATATCTACTCCGTTAAAGCCGGTGTTCCCCAAGGCAGCGTCTTGGGTCCCGTGCTTTACATCCTCTTTACTGCTGACATCCCTGTTCATCCCGATACTTTTCTTGCAACATTCGCTGACGACACCGCAATCTTATCATCCAACTCTGATCCCGAAATAGCATCCTTAAATCTCCAAAGTCATCTCACCTTGATTGAGCACTGGTGTAATAACTGGCGCATTAAAGTTAATGAATCTAAATGCCAACACATTACTTTTACACTCCGACGCAATTCCTGTCCACCAGTACTCTTTAATTCCATCCAGCTTCCTTATTCAGACACAGTCCGGTATCTTGGCTTTCATTTAGACCGAAGACTAACTTGGAACCCGCATACTAGACTCAAAAGACAAGAACTCAACCGACGATACGGCCAACTATACCGACTACTAAGCAGAAAATCTAAACTTTCCATTGAAAACAAGCTACTGATCTACAAGACAATACTGAAACCTATTTGGACTTACGGACTAGAACTGTGGGGATCAGCAAAATTTTCTAACATCAAGCGCATCCAATCCTTCCAGTCTAAAGTCCTTCGAACAATAGTCGATGCTCCTTTCTATGTATCCAACAAAACCCTACATCATGACCTTAACATCCCATTTGTCCTAGACCTTATCCCAGAAAAGTTCTCCAAATTTCACCAGAACCTTACTTACCACCCAAATCCTCTTGCACAATCCCTATCAAGCATCTCCCATCCCTATAATCCTCCAAGAAGGTTGAAACGGCAGTGGCCTCGCGACCTTTTGTAAATTATATAAATTGGAGTTCTGGCAATGGCCAGATTCTTCACTCAAGACATGTGTGTATGTGGCTAAAGTGCTCTCGACCAATCTCCGCTGGCTTTAGTACCAGTGACGCGGTTGGAAGAGTAGCGCAGGGTTCTCCTGGAGTTCCCTCGCCTGATTGTATATAGGTATGCATGTTATTTTTTTTTTTTTTTTCCTTAGTTTTAATTTTCTTATTTTTTAGGTTATTTTATTTTATTGTCTATTGTATATACTTTTGATTATTATTTTGTTCTATTTATTTTATTTTTTTGTACATATGGTGTGAATGTCATCCTACCTCACTATAACCAATGTCGAACAGACAGATTGTTATAATACTCAATAAAGAAATTAAAAAAAAAAAAAAAAAAAATTTTGGGACAGTTAATTTTATCAATATTGGCGATTGATTTATTATAGAAATAATAAAGATTGAATATTTATAAGCACTGTTTACCTTAAGTTCAATAAAATTAAATCGGCAACTATGGATTTAATTTAGGAAACCATTTACGTTATTTAGAGGTTTTTAAGGAACAAATTTATTTTTTTCTCAAAATATTCTTTAAATATGTATAAATATATACCACAAAAATGGCTATAGCTTTTTTTTTTTTTTTAATATTACGGACTAGGTTAAAAATCAAATAATGTAACATAAACATTATAATTTCCCACTTCATTTGACTGAGTAGAAGGAAATTAACTAAACGCCATCTCACCACAACTTATCCGGAAAATTATCCAATATCGGATGAGATGGTGGATCTAAATTTAGAACCCAAATCCCAGGCTTGATCAATACTTTCCGTCTTTTAATGGTGTTTTTTATATATTTTTTAAAAATAATATATTAACTATAGCTAATTTTCTTTGAAAAAATGAGATTTATTAAAGCCGTTGGATTTGTATATAATATCGTTATATATGGTAATACCACTCACTCACTACTATTATCCTCCAATTCAGAAATAAAATATTTTATTTTTAGTTTTAAATCTTGAGGATTTAATTCAATAATCAATATTTCTTAAAGATACTAAGTCTTATAGAATAATTATACATTTTAATTATTCCCAGAGAAGAAAATAATATTAAAATACTTAATTTCCAATAATTATTAAGATTAAGAAAAATGTTCATGTACATTTATTGAATTCTCTTTCTATTTTCCATAACTTTTGTAAGCAGAACTTTTATATAGGACTTTTTAGTTATATAATTTGTGACATATGGAAAGCAAATTTAAAAATATCCATAACCTTTCAATCAAAGGTGTTAAATTATATTTCCTCGCAATAATTACTGAATGTTTAAACATAATTTGGTATAGAAATTCATAAAATCTAAGAAATACCTAAAGATTTTCTGAGTCTTACCGTTAGTGCGATGAAAAATATTTTTTCGTTTTCTCTTGGTAACTTATTTCATCATTCATCATGAGCATATGATACGAAATTTCAAAGAACAAAACTTTTCATTTGATTTTTAACTGGCAAAAATGATTTGTACCTAGTTAGTTTTGAGAGAAATAATTAGCCAAAACATATTAACATTTTTGAAGAATATTACTTCAATTACCAAAAATTTACGTGTTACCAAAAATCGGCCTTGGTCTTGCACTTTACAAGACCAAGACCAAGGCCGCCAAACTGTTGCAAGACCAAGACAAGGACTGATTAAAAAAAATCGATTTTTCGAATAAAAATTAAAGAAAAATAGTTACTAATAGTTGACAATCTTAGTTACTATATGTAAATAATTGGCATAACCAATATACTTTTGCATTTAACTCCTCTAATTTTTCATTCGGGCTTAGTTAGGTTTCTCCTATCTAAAAAATTACAGTAATAAGCTAATAAGTAACTGCAAGACTGTTGCGAGACTCTTGCGCAAGACCAAAAAGATAACCAAGACTGAGTTTTCAAGACCAATGCTCGTCTCGGTCTCGCATTTGGACAACACTAATTTATATGTAAGTAATTTTGTCTGTCATAAATACTGTTGCAAATTTGAACATTGTTTACACCCTTGGGTATTATTTAGACAATCTAACTCTTAACTCTATCATGTTATTTTCTTTACGTGCCAGGGTAATAATCACAATTAGTATGTATTTTTCTCCGACTCAATTAACATGGACTTTACTCAAAGTTGGAAAATGTAGGTCAGAGATTTTCAACACTTTAAAAGCTTTGGGTATCAGCCGTTATGTTCGTGTACCGCACTATAAATAGATATAATGAGACCCTATCTGTATGTGACAGACCTCGACCAGACCGTCCCCGCACTGTGAGAACGGCAAATGCAGTGAGAGCAGTGGCTGCTCCAATCAGAAGAAATCCCATTCGAAAACAACAAATCATGTCTCGAGGAATGGGAATCTCTGTCAGATCAATGTCTCGCGTAATAAAAAGTGACCTTAGGATGGCTGCATTTAAAAAAATAATCAATTTTCTGTCCTTCTCTCCTTCCTTCATCAACACCCGACGCGGGATTCTTTGTGACTTTCAATTTTAATATTTTTTATTTGTCTGGTTTTGGAATTAAAGGACTTAATTATTCTTTAATTTATTTAATTATTAAACAAAATTAAAATGCAAATAATTAATTTGATGAGGGATAATTCTACTACACAAATTGCTTTTAAAAATAATGCTGATAATTTTATTTATCAAACTTCCTCCCTAAATGTTAACTTAGATTTATTGCAACTTGATAATCAGTATGACCATGAATAAACATATTTCTGCGCATTGCACAATTTGTTTGTACAATTTAAAAGTTTATATATTTACACGTTTCAAAAACATTTTTGTTTTTACTTCGTGAGTATTTTAAATTTCAATATTATTATTACTGGTTACTTTTATATAAAACTATCCAAAACTTTTAATATTATTATTTTAGACCAAAGTATTCATAATACTGACATTTCATTCTTGAGTTATGTTGTTCACATAAACAAATGACAACAGTTTCAGTTCTAAGTGAAACTCCTAGCTGAACACACCTCCCTGAAGAAGACCTGTAAAGTTGGGTCGAAACGTCACGGCTTTTAATAAAATTGTTTTGACACTATTTTAGTCTATTTATGACCGCCCCATCTTCGTCCTCTATAATAAAACGGTTAACTATTAGGCATTCAATAAAAAAAAATTATTAGTTGTCTGTCATTCTCTCAACACTCGACGCGGCATTCTTTCGGACTTTTATTTTTAATATTTTGTATTTGTCTGCTTTTGGAATTAAAGGGATTAATTGTTCTTTAATTTATTTATATTAAACAACATTAAAATGTAAATAATTAATGTGACGAGGGATATTTGAGATCCTATCATGTTTGCTGTATTTTGCTGCCTTTTGTGTCTTTTCCATTGTCATTTCAATGCGGTAGTTTAACAATCTGGCTAATCATCAAATTAGGCGGAAGAATTTTAGTAATTACCTCGGTAATGGACTGAGACTGAAGTAATTTATTGCCAGTATTTGCCATTGCGTCGAGGCCTCACAAGTTAGCCAACACAGCTCACGACTCTCAATGACGCAGTGTACAGATTGAGTTTCATGACCGCGGATGGTTTGCTGCTTGAGACCTATTTGACTTCTGGGCATATCCTCGCGACTTCCTCTTCGCTTCGTCATTCTTGAAATATCAACATAAATTATGCGATAACATCAATATCATTCACAACCTCTCGGAACCCAAATATTTCAGACAGTCAAAATACAGTAATTTCTTTCCTAATTAATTTTACTTTGACCTTTTTAGTATGAAATTCCTTATAGGTCTACGATTTAGAGTGAATGGCATACATATAAATATTTAAAATTTATAAACAGTTTAATCGATAAAATTTGAATATTTAATAATGATCAGTGATTTCGATTATACGTCTGTATTTCATTAAAAATAACAGAGATAAGTCTATACAATTTGTTCTGTAGTTCCTTAAAATATTTTTCATATTAATAATATAACACCACTAATTTTTTTAATTTTTTATTTATGATATTTACAATTGTATTAAGAAAAAATATATTCAGTAAATGTGATAATAGAAAATGAAAACACTTGTTGAGAAACTACCCACTGGTAGCACTCTAGACTAAATTAAATACCTATTTTACTTAATATTTTTCTTAGAAGAAAAAAGGAGAATTAAAACATAAATTTGACTTTGAGAAACCTGTCATCGTCCATTGAGATAATTCTGAACAAAAATTAAATTACTTGGAGGCACTTTATTTATATGTTAGAGAGCCTTGATTGGGTGGTAAATATTAAAACTGATTCAAAGAATTTAATTTTTTATTTTTTTTCTGAAGCTATAAATATCGTGAAGAAACAACAATAATAGACGCCTGGTTGGGGTATTTCTTAATCTATCAGCTCATAAAACAAAATGAAAAATTTCATTGTAACAGAATTTTAAAGAATAAGGTATTTTTTAAAAATATATATTATGAAATGTGCATAAATATTATGGTATGTGCATGGGGATGTATGTGTGTATGTATATATATATACATTAAAAATAACAGAGATAAGGCTATAGAATTTGTTCTGTAGTTCCTTAAAATATTTTTCATATTAATATTATAACACCACTAAAATTAAATACCTATTTGACTTAATATTTTTCATGGTAGAAAAAGGCCTGACTTAAAACATAAATTTGACTTTGAGAAACCTGTGATCCTCCATCGAGATAATATTGAACAAAAATTAAAATACTTGGAGAAACTTTATATATTAGAGAGCCTTTATAGGGTGGTCAATTTTAAAATTGATTCAAATAATTAAAATATTTTTTTTTCTGAAAATATAAATATCGTGAACAATATTGGGGTATTTCTTAATCTATCAGTTGATAAAACAAAATTTAAAATTTTATTGTTACAGAATTTTAAAAAAATAAGGTATTATAAAAAATATATGTTATGAAATGTATATCGGTATGTGCATGGGGATGTATGTGTAATTTTTTTAAATTTTAATAGAATAATATTCTATAATTGATAGATTAAAATAATAACATATTCTGATTTCAATTTAAGTCACCTAATATTAAAATATTTTAATTTTGGCAACGCCTCTCCTCCTTGAAGGATTGATCTCATTCGGTTGTGTTTTTTGACAAAGTGTGCATGTGGATGCACTGCTAATAAGCGAATGAAAAAATTTTGAATTACATATAAAATCAGATTATTAGATAAATTTGAAATAAATTAATTATTATCGAGACTGAAAAGGCCTTTTTCTATTAATACGTATTATAGTCTCTTTCCCAAGATCATCTTTTATTAATATTTTTCTTCTACAGTATCGGTTACATGTATTAAATTTTGAAGCCAAATTCAACTACTTCGAAGACAAATTAAATGTTTTCCAAATCATTTCCAAATTTTTTTTTCTCATGATTTTTCGGTAAAGGAGTCTTCTTTTATATCTTTTATCGAAAACTCCCGAAAAGTTAAAATAAATTTGAAATAGAAAAGGTTGTATTTGGTTTGGAAAAGGTTTAATTTGTTTTGGAAATAGTTGAATTTAACTTGAAAATGCTATATAAAATACTCTTTACTTATAATTAAATCTTAAATTTGTCGTAAACTTCAGAACATCTTATTTTCATTTAAAAATATCCGCAATAATGATGGAGAGGAATTAATTATAGTTTTGAACTATCTTAAATCTTCAACATGACTTATTCGGCTATTTCATTTCATTTTAAAAAAAAAAAAAAAAATAAATAAATAAATAAATGAACTTATTTTTAAATATTATTAAAGTAAATACTCAAAGACGCGTAATTATTAATACAATCGTTATAAGCTTTAATAATGACTTCTTCATTGCCACTTCGTCATCAATGATTAATTCAAGGCCTCATTCTGTAAAAATGTTCAATGCTCCTTTTCGCTAATTGTTTTCATGATTGTCATATTTATTAAATTAAATATTACATGTAATATTAATTATTAAGTACTGTAATATATATGTTTGGTAATAACCCTGATAACCTTTAAAGAGTTGAAATATTCAATAAGATTGTATAAAATGACGTTTATAGCTAATAAATTAATTAATACCGATTTATAATTATAATCAAACAAAACGCTTTAAATTAATAATTTTCTCATAAAAAATTAAATAACCTCCGGTAAATTGTTTTATAGGAACACCTTTTTAAATATTGGATTTTGAAATAAAAATATCCCAAGATGTTGAGAAGCATGTTGCTAATGAACCTTCCTCCCTTATAACCTCCCAACTTCACAGTAATTATTTATTATTGCTACGGTGTTATTATTGACAATTATAATTCATAGGTTATTGCTTATTACTTTCAATCATTAATATATGAAATATATAGTATCAGAAAGTATTGCGATCGTAAAAAAATATGAATCCAAGTCTATATTCGTGTCCAAAAAACATTGTGTGAACAACCTAACTCAAGAATGAAATGTCAATATTATGATAATTTGGTCTAAAATAATGATTTCAATAATATTAAAAGTTTTGAATAGTTTTATATAAAAGTAACTAGCATTGAAATTTCAAATATTTACGATGTAAAATCAAAAATGCTTTTGAAAAGTGTAAATATGTATTATTTACAGGATAAGTGAATATAAGGACTGCATCTTCATAAATATGTTTTCTAAATTTAAACTTTTAAATTGTACAAACAAATTATGCAAAGCACAGAAATATTTTTACTCATGGTCATGCTGATTATCAAGTTGCAATAAATCTAAGTAAACATTTAGGGAGCGAGTTGATAAATAAAATTATTAGCATTATTTTTAAAAGCCATTTGTGTCGTAAGAATCATTCGAAGATTTACTTTTTTATAAAAATAGATTAAAAACATTTATGGCATCATAAAATTCCATTTCATTACTCATTTAATTTCGCTTGTATTTGTGAAATAGTCAAATGAATCGTCTAGGCATCTATGATTTGGAATCGTATTTTAAATAATAGAATTATAATTTTGACAAATTTTATCACTCAGATTTATATTAAATATTTTATAAAGATGAAAATTAACTATTATAACTTGCTATATCGCTACCTTGGTTTGACTAAGTTGTAACTAATTTTTTTTTATTAAAATGAGATTATTGGTGCATCTGACTCCTTTGAACGTTATATTTATTTATTTATTTTTGTAAAAAACTTCATTTACACCTCTTTAAAAACCGTACTTCTTCATACATATTAAATAATCTTCAAAAGTTAATTAATTACTACCATTAAAGATACGAGGACAAAAATAATCCAATGTATTATTTTTAAACGGTGTTTTTTTGTCGGTACGCCATAACTTCGTCAATTCTTCATCAAATCCAATGATTGAACACTCATTTTGAAGATATTCTTCTCCTTCACATGCGAAAAATAGTCCTATTACGGTCAAAATCTCTGGAAAAAAGTTATGAAGAAAAAGAATCTTAATTTGAGTATAACTCAAAAAGTATTTTTTTTTCTTGATTGTACCCATGATAATTAGAACGATAGAAAGAAACTAAATTACCTACAAAAAACAAATCGTAAAAATCGGACAATTATTAACAAAGATACAGTACGTTAGTTTTGGTATACTTAATAATTTCTTCCTCTTTAAAGATATTGCATTTAGGAGTAGAATAGTCTACTACATTTTTTTTTCCTGGTTGATATATTAACTTTATTATTTCTTAAAGGCATTGGTTTGTTCTTACATTTTATTTTTTTTAATAATTTAGAAAATCCCATGATCGGGGCATTATTTTGTCTTTATTACTTTTATTATCTTTCCAGTCAGCGTTTAAAAATAGGTCCTAGCAAAGCAATTTGTACAAATATTTTGGACTATTATGTTAAATGGAATATTGCAATCGACTAAGGAAAAAATATTACTTCCTTCCTCACATAATACATAGGACTACTTATTTCCATATTCTTTTTCTATTTTTTCACAAAACAAAATTATTAATTATAATTATTCGCACGGCCCAATTAGTATATTTTATTAATAACAGAATAAGTGTTCGTCCTTCATTTTTTTTTCTTCATATATTACAAAATACTCTTTCATTATAATTAAAAAACAAATTTATAACGCCGATTTTATTTTATCTCCAGCATTCGCAAAAGTTTGTTGACCTCATAATCGTCTGGGTGGTTGCTAGGCAACTATAACACCCGAGCAGTGTCGGTGCCATTCATTAGATTTTTTCGGAAGAAGAAAATTATTATAGTTTTTTTTTTTTAAATTGATAATGTAATTTTTTCTATTGTGATTAAATGAATCAATTTTACGTGTTTGTGAAACATGTGTTTTGTAACGTACAAATTAATTATTAATGCTTTGTCGGTATCGTAGTATGTATATGCTTTGAGATTCAAACCGAAACTTTTTATATTCTTGTTTTAGGTTATTAAAATAACTTTCTTTTGAAATATATGTAATTATTTAATACAAATTCGTGGATTCTTCTATCCATAAGTGAGTAAAAAATACTAAAGTGTATTGAAAATATGATTTATTAAAATTTAAAATTGTTCAGAATCAGCTTTAGTTAAAAAAAAAAAAACATTCCAAAATAAAGATTAACATTGCTTATTTGTGACAAAACGATTAAAATATTTCT